TACATCGGGTATATTAAGAAAACTGATATAAAAAACAATTTATTACATCGGGTATATTAAGAAAACCGATGTAAAAGCTTGCCTTTATTTATTTTTTTGATTTTTTTTTATATCCGTTCTATAAAATAATCGATGTAATAGATTGAGTTTTTACATCGGACTACAGCCCGATGTAAAATGTGTTTGATTTACTACATCGCTTGAATTTACATCTGATCAAGAACTAATGTAAAAAGTACTTTTCGCCCGATGTAAAATATATTTTCTACACTAGTGACATTTAAATTTATAACTTGTACTCGTAAAAAACAAATTAACAATTTTTATTTTTTTCTATTATTTAATGTGTATTTGAGTTTATTATTCTTGAATGATAATATCAATATATTAAAAAAAGATGAGTATAAGTAATACTTAAATCCATTAAAAAAAAAGATTGATTTTACGATTTTAAAAAAATAGTGGTGTAATTTATTATCCACTTCCTTTCTATTTCTATATTAATCTAATTTTTCAAATAAATTCTAAAAGAAACATAGAAAAAGAGAGCACATTTTTGACCTAGAGCTAGAGATAAAATGTGTTTGCCACTATTGTTAGAAGTACTTACATGTCCATTTTGATTTCTTCAATCTCAACTTTGTCCGATTCCTTTCAAACACAGGTGTTTACTCTTTTTGAGGTTTTTGCATGCAAGTGTTAAAAGCTCAATTTTGGAATATATATATATATATATATATATATATATATATATATATATATATATATATATATATATATATATATATATATATATATATATATATATATGCGATGTGGCCTATTTTTTGTTTTATTTTGGAAAAGAAATATTAAATTAACACTCAATTCATCAATATATATATTAATATTATTATAATTTCAAAAAAAATTATTATGGGTAAAGAAATTCTGCCAATTCAATAAGCGGAAGAGTATAAAATGAAAAGGTTTTGTTCATTTATTTAGTGAATGTGCAACTTTTTTTAAAAATTATTTGTTTATTAACTTCAGATTTTATCTGTGAAATTTCCTGCAAAATTCCTACGAAATTACCTGCGAATTTCTCAAATATATGATTTATATATATGATTATTAAAATCCATATATAAATTTATAAAAACATTTATAGAAATTTTGTAATAAAATCCGCAAAAAAATTTTAAAAACTCAATTTTCCTAAAAAATTCTGCGAGAAAATAAAATATAATAAAAATATATATAAAGTAAGAAGGTCCGCCCAATTAATTGGCGAATATATTTTAAAATATTATTTTTTGTTTGAAAAGATGGTATTTTGATATTTATGAAAGAAAGAATGGTAATTTCATGTTTAAATTTAAAAAAATGATATATTTGTGAAAAATTCAGAAAATTACATCTTAAGAACTTAGTTAGTCATTAAGTTATAAAAAATATTATTTTTATACCAATATCTTAGACATATCGTATTTTGTTGTTCACTAATACGGTAAATAATAAAGTATTATAATAATAAATTATTTTTAAAAAAAATATTTTTTTTTAGTTTTTTTTTTAAATTAAAGGAGTACGGGATACAAAATTATATAATTAATTAATTTTATAATTTCATTAATTAATATTTTAAATTTCATTAAATATCTTATAATTATTAAAAATTTGGACGTTTATTAATCAATTTTATAACTTCATTAATCAATAATTTATATTGTATTAACCAACTTTATTTTATTGCTAAAAATTATTTTTAATATTTAAGTGTTTATTAATCAACTTCATCACTTAATTATTTAATTTTTTATATTTCATTAACCAGCTTTATTTTACTATTAAATTATTTTTAATATATGAACGTTTATTAATCAACTTCATCATTTTATTAATATATTTTTTTTGTATTTTATTAATTAATTTTGTTTTACCATTAAACATCACTATTTATATACTGTTTACAAATATTGTTTACCGTTATTATGTATGTATTGTTCATGTAATGTTCACTATGTAATGTTCACGGTATTATTTATAAAATATTTTTTATTTAAAAAACACTATTTATTATATTGTGAACAGTGTTTTTGTGTAAATATTGATATAAGATTGTGGGGGTAGGAATTGGTATAGTAAGGTTCTTGGGATTAATCATAATGGGAAACATTTAAGAGTCAATATGCTTTGAAGATTTTGATAGTGTTGTGGACAAATTAAATACAATAGAAGCTAAAAAATGAACTGAATATAATATTGAAATAATATGGTGGAAAAGGAACCTGATAATGAATTATATTCATTCTGTCTTCCCTTCTTACGACATGTGTGTCTCCCAAGAGAATATGTAAGTGACTTCTCTAATAGCTATTGATAGAGTAAATAGAAACTTCCACTAGAAGAAAGAAATCTAATGATTCCGAATATCCTTCTCCGAAACAGGATGTAATTGTAAAAACGGTCGCGATAAAACAGTAATAAAAAGTCAATATCAAAATCGTTATTCACTGTTTTTATAATAAAAAAAAAATTGTGCTTGTTCACATTTTAACAGCCGTAAACAATATCACAATATATATCAATCGAAATTGCAAAAATCTTTATACAAAAACAACACGATCTCCACCATTATAGTTATTCAAGGCAAACCTTAGGGACACTTGGGAATAAGAGAGGTTCTATTCAATGGCCAAGCATGGAAAAGATGCCTTTAACTAGAACAAATGACTTGGGGTTGAAGTTCTATAGGCATCTTTGTTGGATCATCAATTTGAGACAAATGACTTAGCGTTGAAGTTTTATAAATAAGATGTATTATCTCTCACTTATAAATATTTAAAATTTCATTTTTCTAATCAATTTAGAATTTTTACGCATTTTATTTTTCAATATTTTCAATTTATATTTTTTATTCTCAATGATTTTGTTCTATTCAATCGCTGCGAAAGAGTACTTCTAACCTTATTCAAATTGAATTTTGTAAAATTATTAATAGTTTCAACTGAATTTAATAAAATGGTTTTGTACATTGAAATTGGTGATTCTTTATAAACTATGTTAAGACTTCAACGTGTGCATGTTAGTATTGTTGGACTTGATATTTGAATTTTGATAGAATTTTATATCATCATACATTTTAAATTGGTATAAACTATTATATAAAATCAACTTCTAATTAAGCTTTGTTGATATATATGGGAGAGTACAACAATAAGATAAAAAAAGTGAAGAGAAAGATTGATTATTAGAAGTTGATATATAATAAGAAAATATCATTAACAATGAACTGGTTTAAATGGTAAGGGGTTTGAGTACCTTATACAAGTAGTCAGGGGGGTTTGAGTCCTAAGTCTTGTCTACCCACAAAAATGGGGAAGGAGAAAAAACGTCATTTATGTGCCTCACATGTTTTTTTTGACAAAGATTACATTGGCAATATTTTATATAATCATTCTAACTAAGCTAATAAATCTTAACTATCGTGCAATTCATAGTATCTTTGAACGGAGTTGAAAATGGACGGTTCAGTGTAGGAATGTAAATGGATATTTATGAGAATAAATAGTATAATATCTATATCTCATGATATAAATATAATATTTATATTCGTGTGAGTATGTGTTAAATGGATAATTCGCGAATTTTAAGATATCTATAAATATTTACAGATATTTATTGATAACTTTTTTTTAAAAATCTACTTCTTTTCTAGACAGAATAAGTTATTATCACATAACATTTATACAAAATTCTCTTATTTTAACAACAAAATTTAATCACATTAATTTCCTTTATTTTCACCAAAACATTTTATTTTTAACAAAAAAATTAAAAATATTGCAATTATGAATTATGGTGAAAGAGCGTCGAATGGTGGAATAGTTGAAATGAGGTATGGACTATGGAGTAAAGAATAAACTTAAATATGAAATTCTCAATATAATTTATATGGAATATAAACTTTTTCTTCAATGAAAATTTCAAAAAAAAAAATAGTATATGAGAAGACTAGTTTTTTAGAAGATAAAAAAACATAGTATAATAAACTAATATTTAAGTAACTCATATAATTTATTAACGGATACGGATATCCACATACATGAATATCATTAAACACATATACATATTCATTACTAAACAGGTATTTAAATATTCATTTATTTTATCTGCAGATATTTATTAAACTATTTGTCTCGTATCCGTGACAGATTTTATTCGCGGCTACGGAGTTTTTTGTCATCCCTAATTCGGTGATGAAGACTATCATATTGGTTTCTAATATGGTTGAGATGGTTTTCTAGTGGAGAAAGTATACCTAAAAAATTAATATTTCGACACTCAAGTTAATAAGAGACTGTTTCTTTTGAAAAATATAAAGAAGTGTGATACAGAAGAGAGAGAAACGTAAAAGAAAGATCACACTATTATAAATATACTTATTTTATCTCAAATGTGAAAGGAATTTTATCTCTGTTAGACAAGCGAGATAAGACTTTACTCTTCAATTTATGTATAATCGAGGGAATAGTTGAAACGGTCATTGGTTAGATCCCCATCAACAATATTTTTTAATTTTTAAAACTATGTAGCACGCGTCATATACCTCTCGGTTTTTGTTAATAACCGAGAGAAAAAGGTCAGTATATATGTCGGTTTTTGCTAGTTAAGGAGTATGACCTATTTTTTCTATTTATTGTTTGTATTAAATCTCATTTTGACCGACCTGTATCATTTTTTCACACAAAACCTACAAATTATGTGACAGAATCAAATATTTGTATTTTATATAGAACATAACATAGAATACCAAATTTATATTATTTACAAAATCAAATGTACAATGCTTACATTATTTATAATGACATTTAGGATACACAAAATATCTATCAAGAGAACCTATACATATTTGCACTTATAATGCAAACCTATATACAATGCTTACAACAGTCAAGAAAAACTAGTGTTTATGAGATTCATGATAAGGTAGGAAGGCAGCGGTCCAATGTGATCAGATGTCATCTACATCTTCTTGTGAAAATGGTGTTTCGTCATTAAAGCCCTATAACTTGAACATGATTTGAATTATGATAAGTTAACAACAACAACATTAACTTAACAAATATACAAAAGTTATCATAAATATGGATAAAGTTAATACATTAAGCCATGAATTGGTAATACCTCTCAAGACAATATTAAACATATGTATCATAACATAGTATCTACATTCAAAACTGTTGGGTTGTTTTTGCGACTACAAATAATTTTCATATAGTTATTAATTAATACTCACAAAGCACAAGTATTACATTAACAAAAATAAATGAATGTCAAAAAGCACAAGTAATACTTACATATGGTTCTATGAACTTTGGCTTTTTACCAACTATATTACATTTCACTAAATTGTATCCCTCCATATCTCTAGATGTCGGTAAAAAGTAAACATGAATAAAAACTATTCAAAACTAAAGGTAAAATTTGAGTATTACAAATAATACATGTTAATTCTCTGATTTTATAATTGACATTATGTTTGATAAAACTAATATAGCAGCAATATGTTAAATAGGATATGTTAACTTGTTGGGAAGAACATGTGGAACAAGAAGTCCTATTTTATGTTAAGACATGTTGAGATGAGAAGTTCTCATCATCTGGAGCAACATGTCGAATAAGATGTCATATGCAGGGTCATACGATATCGCGCCTGAGCTGAGCTGAACAGTTGAATTCTGTTATGATTTAACAGATGCAGAATATTCTGGAAATATAATACAAGTCATATGTGGTGTTTATTTAAAGGTCTGGAAGAATCAAGAAGAATGTTTAATAATATTGACTTTCTAAATAAGGAGACTTTTTAGAAAAGATTTGATTGAAGACCTACTTTGTTACAGAATCTTCTGCAAATTTATAACAACTGATATGATGTGATTTGAAACCTAAACCTAGTTAAGAGATAGATTATAAGTAGAAGAATTGTAACCTAGAAGAAGATACAAGTCAAAAATGTAACTTTCATATTATTACGGCTGAGTCTGTAGTCACTCTCTAGGAAAATTGGTATATGTGATCCACTTGGGTTGTGAGTTGGACTGTTGTTCTTTGAGTTGTAAGGTTCTGTTCTCACTCAGAAGCCTTTAGGTAATAAGTTGAGTATTGTTATTGATGGAAGCTTTTAAGCAACTCCAAGTTGTGTTCTTAGTCAAGAGTCTTGGTTAGGTATTGTGATGGAAGTGTGTCTTCTAGTTTTGGCGTCATGGAAGTGTGTCTTCCTATTTTGTCCAATCATTGTCTATGATTGATGAGGGATTGAGGAAGATCTCATATCTAGGTAAGTCTTAGATAGAAGTATAGTACGGATAGTGATTAAGTGAGAAGTTGTAAACAAAGGAGTTTAGCTTCGAATTGATAATATTATAGTGAACTTGTCCCTGGCTTGGTATATGCTCCCAAAGTAGGAGAGTTGCTCTGAACTGGGTTAACAATTATAATGTGTTGTTTATGTAAGAACAAGATTTGATTCTGCAATATTATCTGAGTTTTGATGATAACAAATGAGTATGATTGTATGAACAATTTTGTTATACTAACGTTTGTTATTATTGAGTACTTAACAAATAAGTTATGCTTCTGATGAATGGCGTGGCTAAGAAATTAGAAGATAATTGATTCCTCTTCTATGCTACACAAGTTCTATTAAATAGTAGCAAGACACTCTAGAAGGATCTGAAATGTAAACCCTGATATTTGTATGAAGAAACCAGTCAAAATATCTAAAGACAGAAGTTTACTTATGTCCAAATGATGAAGACTCAAGCTTCTAAAGACAACGTATTCTAAGGAAACCAGTCAGAAGATTTGAATTCAGAAGTTGTTACTTACGTCCAGATGCTGAAGACTCACGTTTCTAAAAGACAATGTGTTTCAAGAAACAAAGTGAGAAGATCTGAAGACAAAGTTTCTACCGAAGTCCAAATGCTAAAAACTTAGTTTCTAAAAGACAACTTATTCCAAATAAGACAAATTTAAAAGATCCGAAGACAATGTTTCTAACTGAAGTCCAGATGCTGAAGACTTTGTGTTTCTAGTAACAAGATTCTGAAGACAAGGATTCTTAAAGAACCAAGTGCTAAAGATTCTAAGACAAAAGGTCTGAAGATTCCAAAGACTTAAAGTTCTAAAGATCCAAGGTTATCTACAAACAGGTTCTGAAGACAAAGTGCTAAAGATTCTAAAGACGTGGTTCTTAAAGACTCTAAAGACTTGAAGCTCTTCTGATCTAAAGGTTAGCTACAACAAGTTCTCACAACCAAGTGCTGAAGACTCTGAAGACGCAGTTCTGAAGACTCTAAAGACTTGAAGTTCTGATGACCTTATGTTATGTTCCCGCTTCTAAACTCATGCTTGCAGAAGTCTCTGAAGTGCAGAAGGAAAGAAGATAAAGATAACATGGTACAATAGTACATAGTACGAAAAAAGTTTTATTCCACTACCTCTCCACCAGCTTGAAGTGTGGAAAAGAAAAGAACGTAGTTGTACTATTTGTAACGACTCTTTTTCAAATAGTCAACGTCTCTATTTTGCTTGGCTATATAAGAAAAGAATCGTATGTTTAAAATTGTTGGTTAGTTAGATGTTTCTCAACACATGATGCTGAATATTGATGAGCTTGCCATAGGCTGCTTGGTTGGATGCTAAAAGCTGTAAGTTGTTGTTGTTGGTGTTCAATGTTAAAAGATAACATCATTTGCTGGAACACAACCAAAGTTATCAACAACTATAACAACAAGACCTTTATCAAAATGATTCTCTAATCATTTTGTTAATGATTACAATGAAATCATTGATTCACAATATATGAAATTATATATATTGCATAAATCTTGCTAAGCTGCAGAAGATAATGAAGATGATCATGAATTTTCAAGTTACAAATCCACAACACAAATGTTGTACTCAAAAAGTGATCATTGAAGAAGATAGAACAAGGATTGTTGTCCAGAATTTTCTAAGGTGAATCAAGATGAAGAAGTTCTTCTATGTGCTACAATGAGATCAACAAAGCTTTCAGAAGCTTATGAAGAAGACTTTAACAATTCAAGTGCTTTAGGATGTTGTCCAAGAAGAAGCTACTTGAAGAAAAGAAGACCATACATCAAGCTACAATATAATGTAATATTTTTTAGTGTGTATTGGGATCTTCTGATGTATGCTTAAATTCTGTTTACATCTAACTTGTGTAGAAGCATATTATTGTAAATAAATGTAAATCAAATAGTTGATGATACCTTGAGAGACCGAGTGAAGGTCTGATCTCAAGAAGACTTTTTCTGCGTCCATCGTAGATGAAATCTTCGTAGTGGATTCTATTGTGTCAATGGTAGTCATATCTCAAAGGGGACCGAGTAAAGGTCAACCTTCTGAGATCAGTGATGGATATCATTGGAAGAAAATCCTAATAGGAGATTCTAGAGAATCGGATTCTGTTGGGTCAATGAACGTTATATCCGGTTTAGATCTCTGAACGTTTCATTGGATGTTAGTCGTAGGCGGTTGCCCATGAAATTGTAATCAGATTGATTATAATGGATTAAGTCCTTGAGTTCAAGGCGAAATTACCTCGAAAGGATGGACTGGACTAACTTGGGGGTTTCTCAAGTGAACCAGGATATATCGTGTGTTCTTTACTTTTGCTTATGTTTTAGAGTTTATGACTTCTCAACTTTAATTAGAAGCACTACTTAGAAGTAGCACTCAGAAGCATTGTTCAACGAACAACGCTTAGAAGCGAAAGTTATTCAAGAAAGAAAAACCCAATTCAACCCCCCTTTTTCTTGTGTTTTCTTCACACCTTCAGTTTATGCTTTTCAATACTGTTTTGCATGTTTTATACCTTACCAGTGTGTTTTGTTCAGATTAGATGTCTCGACATGTCATTGGACATCTGAGTTCTATTATACTAGAATTTCAATTGGTATCAGAGAAGGCATCATGTTATCTTTCCGGGTGAGATCTTGGGGAGATACTTTCTGGTTCATGGGCAAGGAAGGAGGTATCTATTGAAAAGTTGTTTGAACTTGGATAAGTTCATATTATGGTTTGAACGGTCCCTAGAAGTGGAGGATGGACTGTTCATGACAGGGTGTGTATTGGACCTGTTTGCTGTTATCAGGAGTGTAACTTTGGTGGAAAGCTATTGTTTTTTTTAGGTTTGATTTATTTTCAAACCTAGGTTGTTTTGCTTGAAACTGGATTGTGGTGTTTGTGCGCAAGGATTTTGTGTTGTACCTGAAGGTTGTTGAGGAGTTTTATGGTTTGTGTTCCGCTGTATATGTATCTAATGGAAAACTCCTGATGGTGTTGTGAGTTTCTAGTGTGGAGGCTGTAGCCATATGTTCCTCTCCGAAGGTATATCCCATAGTGTGGTGATACTTGAAGGACAACTTCAACCAACTTTGTAAAGGTGTCAAAGATACTTCAGATTTATCTCAAGTCCTCTCATAAAGACATTTATGAATGAGCTTGTTGAAAAGAGATTTGAAGAAAGCATGAAGGATCTCTTGGTATGCTCCTGTTGGCTGAAGATTTTGATAATATTATTAGAAGCCAAACAAATTGGACGTTTCGATCGAAATGAAACAAAGCGTCATGTTTCGAAATAGCAGAAGCAGTGTTTCGAATGAGCATATCAAAGCTTGGAGCTTCGAGTGGCAAATATGGGAACATATCTAAAGAAGTCTCGAAATGACAACAAGGTTGTATCTAAGAAGTGCGTTCGAAGCGAAGAAGTGCCAAAACATTTGAAATTCAAATGCAAGCGGGATGTTCGAAGTTTGAAATTTATGTGCTGGAGCATTTGAAGACACGTGGAGACAAGAGAGAGGCATTGTTCTGCATGTTCTGAACGTGGCAGAGTCTTATAGCAGGACCGTTATGGTCGAAGTAGTATAAATAGAAGTCTTAGTATTAGGATTTCGTGTGTCATATCTATTGTACAAAAATACTCAGTAAACATTCAAATTACCACATGGCTAGGGAAACGAATGCAAGAGCAATGTACGTATGATAGCACCATATGATTTAATGAAAACCCTTTATCATTTCCAGTACTTTCCTTTATCTTTCTGCCAAATACCATTTACAAGTTTTCTCATTTAAAGTCTTTTTATTCGAAATCTTTTCTTTGATGCCTTACATTTAAATGCTTTCTTTTCATTTCAAACACTTTACATTTCAGAAAACTGTCATACTTTTCATGCCTTTATCTTCAAGTTTTATCCTTCGAACGCCTATTTTTACTTAAAGTCATTTTACAGATTTCTTGCATTAAACGCTTTCTTCGCATTTCGAATCTTTTACATTAACTGTTTTGTTTTACGTTTCGAAGCCATTTACTTATCTTTTATGCAATTTTACATGTCTTTACAATTAACATTTATTCATGCAATTTAGTTTCGCGCACATATATTTTGATTACACCTTTAGATCTTCAAGAGAGAAATCGAAATAAGTCAAACACCTACACAACACTCTAAATACCAGCCATGAATACATGTTCGATCATGAGAGTTACCCTAATGACCAACAAGTCCTAGGATCAATCTAGTCGATCCTGCGAGTTACCAGAGAAATTGAATAACAGTCAGTAAGTTTATTCGATAGTTTGGAAGACTAGCGGTTGTTTACCAGAAATCACTGGAAACAGCTCCCTGGAATGATGTCTTACCAGATGTTAGAACATCACATCAGAATTGTGCAGAATTTTGTTGGGATGAGATAGTAGATGCTTTGGGTGTTAAACAAATGTGAGTTAATCACATATGTTTGGAAGCTACTCCTGATCTGGAAGAGGAGGCATCTGGGGTGTGTATCTAAGAAGTTTCTTGGAAACATGTCTTAGAGAAGTGGGTCGATTAAAGGATGATCAACCTATTGATTACTTTTTGGTTCAATTTATTTATGGTCTAAGTGGCATACTCCAAATTTGCCTGCCCTTTATTTCTACAATCAAAAATATTTTCAATATTGATTTTATAATATTCTTTGATTTTTATAAATATTTGTTTCAAAACCTATTTAAAAATATAATAATTTATCTCAGATCATTTGTACTTTTGAATAAACAGATACTTGCTCGTCTTCATGTACTTTCAGTTGATTTTTTATTTTGAATAAGTAATATAACACAGTTGGTAAGAAATTAAGCTTGCAAGTATGAGGTAGCGGGTTTGAATCTTATGTGTTGCATTTTTAACAACTCTCACATCCTATTTATTTTTAATTTTAACTTGATTATTTTTTATATATGCCATATGATGATCTCTGATGGTTATTTTTTTTTTCATTAAAATTATTTTGTTTATATCATAATTTTTTTCATTAAAATTATTTTGTTTATATCATAATCTCTACATTTGGTTTTATATATACAATTTTGGTTTACCTATGAACCTAATTATTTTCAAAAACCCCTTTTTTCATCTATCAGTAGCATACAATCACTGCATACAACATAAGCCCTTACCATATTCCCATACTAAGAAGAAAAAACCTTTTTTTATTGTTTTTGTACATAGAATGGTAGCCAATTTCTAACACCTTTTTCTGGAAAACTATTGTTTTTTAATCAACTATCTTTTGTGTGCTTTCAGTTACAATATTCATCGGACCAATTCCACAAACATTCAAATTTGAAAACCAAAGCATTCACATAATCACGACCAACAATATTCATCACTATCTTTAGGAACACATAAACTTTCTTCAATCAATCCAATTCACCATTCACCAACACAAACTCATCACCAATGTTCAAACAATACCCAAAATTCATGAAATCCTAACATCACTATGCCAGTTAAGTTTTTGCAGGGAAAAACAAGAAACAGAAGAAAAGGAAGTTGAATCAAAAACAACGGAAAAGTCAAAAGGCTAAAACAGAAAAAGAAGAGTCAAACCACCATACCTCCCGCGAGCTACCTTCAGTCACTTTTTCATCGCCGTTTTCCAACCCTTCATCACCACCTTCAAGCGATTTCCATCATCGACCAAACAATCTCTTCACACCATCAAGCATCTCTCTCAGTCATCGACAACTCCGTTCAACTCCGACTCAGCCCGCCACCGCAGTTCCATGGATATCCTCTCCACGACTAACATTCGCGCCGTACTCCACCAATCGCGCACATCCCTCTGTGAACTACAATCAATCCACGATCCTAATCGACATTGATAAGTGAGAGAGAAAGAATTAATTTACTGATATATGTTTTATGTTTTAATTGCATTTTTACACACCCTTTTAGTAACCAACCCCTATTTACTAATTAACACCTTATTATTATATTATAAATATTTTTAATTAGATTAATGATAATTAAATTTATTTAATTTACTAATTCATTTGATCCAGGGATAATAAAAAATATCAAATATTTTCTTAAATAAAAGGATTAATCAAACTTTCTTTTTAAATTAAATTAATTCAATATTTTACAAAATTATTAAAACTCGCGCAATTCATCAAATACTCCATCCGCGAATGACATGTGGTCAATATCTGACAACGTGATGAGGAGACTATATCAGACTCCCTCCACTCTACGTCCTACTATACTCGTTAATTCAATCGAAATTCAAAACAGCTAACCAACAACATCAAATCATTTTCTACTAACATAATCAAAATCAAGATATTTTCGAAAAAAGATTAAGGAGAATTACTTTCAAAATTAACTGCAAATTGTATCTACGATCACTCTTTTACAAAACCCAGACAAGGTTCAAGGATAAGTTCAAAAGTAATTTTACGCAATCCCATAAAAAACACCAACCAACACTGCGGACTACGAATTAGGACTCTGATTCCTCCTAAGAGGATACGTAGGCATACGACTAAAATCGTGGCGAGTTCCCCTAATAAAAATTAAAACCCTATTTCCTAAAGATTGCAATTCTAAACTCTAGTATCCTTGTGAACAAGGTAGATGAGGGGTGCCTAACACCTTCCATTCGTCTAATAACGATTCCAAGAACTTAGAATCTCTGACCAAATTAGGATTATCCTTATACTCCCTTCATAAAGATAAAAACTTAAAGGTGACGACTCTCAATTTCAAACCGGTTACAACACCAAGTAAGTAGGAGTGCAGAAGTTGAGCTCAATTGTTTAGTGGTGATTTATTGAAGACATCCCTGCCAGAGTCTTTATGGAGGTCGAGTTTAAAGTCCAGGATATTCTCTCTATCATCTGAAAGTCCTTCTGACCAAAGGAGCCAGATTTATGGAATCTTTTGTATGGCCATGAAATAGATTCATGTGAGAGGTGTTATGGGAGTTTACCAACCGCAAGTTGTGTTGTTATTGAGAGGGAGAATATATGATTCTTTAATATGTTCTTAGCGGTTGTTGAGGTGGAGTCCCTAATCTGGAGTTGGAGGACTTTGAAGATGTGTCAGACATAATGTCTTGACATCTTTGGTTTGAGAATTTATTTTTCTCAAATAATTTTTTTGGTAGGTGTTTCTTTAAAACATGATGGAAGTTGTTTACTCAAACTTGGTATTCTTATCAAGTCTATGAGAGCATGGAACTCTTGTTCTGTAGTAGAAGATACATCCAAGGGATTGTCTGCAATAGAGATGTGTGAACCTGGGCTAAGTGGTTGATTGGTATATGCATTGTTGAAGTGTCATCTGAATTACCTAGGATGAGCATTTCAGATTTCTGTCTGGAGTAAGGAGGAGGAATTTGTTTTGGAACCAAAGGATCATGGTTCTTATTGTTTGGGAAGTTTCTCCTCAAGTATGGGTTCAGTTATGTGGTGGCCACACATGATGGAACTTTTGTTTTTGCAAGGATTGAAGGGCATCCTTGTGTTTTGGAAGATTGGGAGAAGCAGACTTAGTCTGAATAGTATGCTTGTGGCGTATAATGATCAGCCAAATCTACGTCTATTAGGTACATAAGAATGTCATCCAACACCTCAAAGTCAGACAGGAGGTCTGGATGTTGTGCATATAAGAAGAAGCTTCTTCAGGTGTGCATGCTTTGTATGTGTTATGATTTGATCTTAAAGGTTGATCAGCTACCGATGGTTGGTCCTCTTGTGTCCCTTGAAAGAGTTTTATACGGACTGTTATGGATGATATCTCCAAAGCCATAGTAAATGCTTAAACCCATGTGATTTAGACTAATGTCGAAACTGATGTTGGAATATCATTTATGTTCTCTGCTTCTTCAGCCAAGGAAGTTTTCGGATTTATTCATGGTGGAGTATAAGGTCAAGCCACTGGCCTAATTTGAAGTATTTTGTGGTGTGAATGGGTGTCATGTCTATTTTGTTATGAAGATGAATAAGCTAATACCAGATGTGTGCATAAGAAGAATGTTATATTAAATGTTCTTCCATTTGTGAAGAGGACAACACCATCTGTTGTTTATGTGTGAGGAAATGTTTCTCTAATGACAAATACGTTGTCGGGAGTTGGGTGTAAGTCTGATCTGATGGAGGTTCTACATGAGACTGATGGTAACTACTTTGAGGAGAGTTGAGTATTTGTCTGATATGTTGATGCAAGTCTGCAATCTGTTGTGTTGAGAATTTATTTTTCCTATGTGGTTGTTGTTGAGTAGATTGGGATATGAAGCTGCTAATTATTGAGAGTTTATTTCTCTCTATGGTGCTCTGTTATGTGACAACCTGAATTGGATGCTGAAGGTGTGTCATTGGAGATCTTCTGGTGTCAAGGGCATTCTAGTATAATGAGTTCCTTGAATGGCATTTGAAGATTGTGTTATGAAGCCGATGTCCTAAATGATGTTATAACATCATGTTGAGCTGTGTTTGGAAGATGTATGGGTTTGGGCACATGGAGTTGGATGCTCAAGAATTATTGTCAGAAGTAGCAGTTATGACTATATGGATTAGAATGTGAAGATTTTGATCTTGTCTGCAGTAGTATGCTTGATGAGCGCATGGCTACTGTGTTGAAGACCCCACTAGTCTCAATAACTACTAGTGAATGTAAGGGCAAAAGAATGTTATCAGATACTAAGGTCTGATATGTTTATGATATTTTTAAGGTGTTACTCCATAAGAGATTGGCTTGGTCTGGATCTCAGTAAAGCTTCTTAACTAAGCTAAAAATTTGTGGAGTTTATGCTCAGCTGGAGCATTGGTTATCCATGACAGGGGGAGTGAAGTACCTGTCTATTGTATGTGGCTGCGATGTTGCAGGTATTTTGTTGGCTTGCATGGTGATCAAGCTTGTGGAGATTTTATGCCTCTCATGAGGATGTGATGTCATGCTACATGTTGTGACATAATGTAGTTATTGGTGATCTTGAAAGGGCATGTTTGATTCAAGTCATGTAAAGCTGGGTGATTGAATCAGAAGTACACATATATCTCTAGTGGTTAATAATTATTTCTGGGAGAATTAATTTTTTCTTGCAGATTTCGGAAGGATTCTCTGAAGGTCTTTGTTGTTGAGAGATGTTACATATGTGATATTCTGATGTTTTGGTGTGTGTCACTAAGTCTAAGTGAAAGGAGTACACTTAGAGTCCAGTTGAAGGCATTGTGTTTATGCTTCAGAACATCTATGGATAATTTTGTGAAGCATTTTTGGACTAATGGTTGAAGATGTGTTGGTCACGGGTTTGTGCATTCAAGAGAAAAAAGGCAATGTCTGAATGGATGCCAGGACATTATTCAGGACATGTTTCCTGTGTGATCAACAAAGGAGTTTTATGGACGGTGTGATCAAATAGGTGTCAGAATGGAGTGTATAAAGTGTGTTTTAATGTGCATGTGCATGTATTGGGACTATTTCTTTTCAGCAGAAATAATCCAGAGCTAATAAAGACATTCAAAGTTGTTTCGTACGGTGCCATTGATTTTAGTGGTACTTCTCTCCTCAAATTATGTTTCCTTTTGCCCAAGACCATTGCTACAATCAAGGATCGTTATTTCCCAAGTTAATATTCAGCTATTTATAGAGGTTACTCCTTCCTCTTTCACCATGTGAGTGTTTGGTGTTTTCATTTTTCTTATGGCTTTTGTTAGGGTATGAGTGAGTTATGTATGGGCTTGATTTTGTGAAGGGTTTGTTTGTCACTTTTTGGCAAAAACGTGGGAGAAAGGTTTTGCTTAGATGATAAGTCTGATGTTTGTTTTTGGGGCACTTTTGCAAAGATGTCAAATAAGAAGTTATATTCTGTATTTTTCTATTTTTGTTGGTATTGTGACTTGTGCTCTGAGTTATGAACACAATAGTGACTTGTGTTCTGAGTTACCCGAGTTGGTGGTAGATTGGTGGTTGGTTGTTGATTAAGGATTCTCTTATGTCACCATTGGTCTTTTAAGTTCTTGGGTTGAGGGGGAGTATTTAGTGTTTCCTATCTTCTTCCTCATGTACACCAAATGACTTCAGGACTTTCTAATCCTTTTATCCTAAGGCTGTTGTTCTTTGGTGTTGGGTCTAATATGGTGTGTTGAAGCTCATTTCGATTTCTATGAAGAATAAATCGACCAAATTGAGAATTTTACCTCTCCATGTGGCCCTTGTCATAGTCTCTCTAAAAAGGGGGGGAGAGATCATGTGTTGAGGTCATATGATGGACTGTCATGAAGAAGTCCTATTATTGATGTTGTGACATCATGATTGAAGACAATGAAGCCTGAAGTCTGTCAAATGTGTGAAGAATAAAGACTGATTGCTTCTGATGTTTTTAGTTTATGGTTGCTGCTGAATATATTTTTTGTTTGGCATTTGCCCTTGGTTTATGTTCTTATTTGTATGCAAAGGTTATGTAAATTAGTTTTAGCCAAAAATAAGCCAAAGGGGGGGATTCTTAATTATCTGATTTTATGATTGACATTATGTTTGGTAAAACTAATATAGCAGCAATATGTTAAATAGGACATGGTAACTTGTTGGGAAGAACGGGTGGAACAAGAAGTCCTATTTTATGTTGAGACATGTTGAGATGAGAAGTTCTCATCATCTGGAGCAACATGTCGGATAAGATGTCCTATGCTGGGTCATACGACATCGCGCCTGAGCTGAGCTGAACAGTTTGATTCTGCTATGATTTAATAGATGCAGAATATTCTGGGAATATGATACAAGTCCAATGTGGCACTGATTTAAAAGTCTGTAAGAATCAAGAAGAATGTTGCAGAATATTGACTTTCTAAATAAGGATACTTTTTAGGAAAGATTTGATTGAAGAT